AGAAAGCACAAATAACCTAGTAATTAAACTCCCAAACTTAACAAATAATTGCCAGCAAGCAATTACCATTCAATTAAAGAGTAATTACATGGTTATTTGTGCCCTGTAAAATAAAGCATTACTGAAATCAGTAACGCAATCAATATTTTAGCAGAAACAGGATGCTGCAGTGATGGACCTTTCAACCTGTGCTGATTAAATTGTCATCCAAATAACAGTTTCCTAGTTAAATCACCACATGTTTATTTGTCTTGATTAATATGCAAATTCACTTCTGATTCTAGTAAGTCTCCTATATTTAAAAGCACAAAAGTAGAGAGCTATCATACGTCAACAGTGATCTGCTGTATGTTTCCACTGATTAATTACATTTTACAAAGTGTTGATGAATTTGTGGATTTTATGAAATATAGTTGTCTGTAATGTGCATAAAAGAGAGTTATAAAAGATGGAACTGATCAGTAATTTTAACAAAATCACAAAAATAGCCTTATTCTATGTTTTGATTCAAATTAAAAATCCTTGGGATATCTAGGGAATATATAAAAGTTTGAGAGGGAGAATAATAAAACAACAGGAGTGGAAAATAAAGGAAAAACAGACATTAATAAATGATTTCTCGACATTTTACTATGTAAATGTTAACTGTCAAATATACTGCTTAAAATGTAATTTAGTCTCTGACAAATTTAATTCCAAACAAAATACAAAAATGAATAACATTCAGATTAGTTCATTTTTCTCTTTCAGTTAGTGATTTTTGCAGGGTTGGGGTGGAGAGGATGACAAGTATGACTGTATAACCATAGTGTTAAATGCAGGTAAAAAACCAAAACCTCCAGTCATCTTTGCATCTTTTTAGTTTTGGTTTTGAGAGATACTAATAGAATTTTAATCAGTGTAGACTTTGAGCTGGCCAATTTATTTGCATTTATTTAGTAAAAAGAATGAGATTACTAAATTTATTAATGAGAAAAGGTACTGGACTTCCGTTTTAGTCTCCACAGTCTTCACTTGCGACTATAACTCTTGTACTCAAAAATGTTTTTAAGAGATATCTATAAACTAGCAGTTTCTAACTGAAGTAACATCTAATTTATAATTGAGTCATTTTCCACTCACAGAGACCTGTTGATGGCAAATATAAAATTTATGTAGATTAGAATCTCAAAGAAACACATTTAAAATTGTTTGAAGCCGATTGTTCCTGTTTATGTTTCCTTTGTTATCAATGAGGAAAAGATTTTTCTACACTTCTTGAATATATAACTCTTTGAAAAAGAGAGTAGGGTGACAAAAGAATAGGAGAAATAATATTAAATAAAGTAAATATTTATATGCTAATACTATTAACATTTGTATGCTAATACTTACGTAATCACAAATGGTGTCTTACTCTCCCCAAATGATAATGCTGCTTGCCTCATGATTTCTTTTCAAGGCTTGTATTAGCAATTTTCTCTGAATTGTGAAGGTTAGATAGGCTTTTAAATAGTAAATGTGAATTTTGTCAAAGTTCTAGACTTCATAAAATGCTAGGAAGCATACTAGGTACTAGGAACATTGAGATAGACCAGTGAGATTTCATTGCTTGGTGGTGCCAGCCCTAATCCTTTACATGAAGTAAATCCCATAAAAATTTTGAATCTACTAATGTTTTTGTTTCCTTTGTGTATATCTAATTAAAAATTAAGATTTAGAGCAAAGATTTGTGTCCTGGCTCTCTAAAATTTGTGGTTTCATGTGTAAACAGAAATGCCAGAAAACTTGTTTCTGGCCAAAACAGGACTGGAAGTGTTTTGGTTCAGATACACTATTGAGTTGCTTTCTTTGAGTTTTGGAGTCCTCCCAGTCAAAAGACCCTGCTTCATAATAGGTGGCGTTTTTTCTGGTCATCTCCAGGCAACCTAGCTGGAGGTGTGAGGTATCTGCTGCAGACTCGGCAGTAGCATATCAGAGTGCTGGGTTGCTCCTTGGCTTCATTTCCTTGGTTCAGAACCAGACAAACAGCATTAAAGGCGTTCACATGTAAACTGGAGAATACAGTGTTAAAGACCCAAATGGTTCTTTTGCAGGTGTTGTATGAATGACAGTCAGGTATAAGTAGCATCCAGCCTTGATTTTTTTCATTTGAAAGCTAACATGACATCAGAGACAAAGGACTTGGATTTTATTTGAACAGATTCAGCTGGGAACAATTTGATTTGAATTATTATGGTTACAGTTGTAGAAGACAGACCAGAATCTGGCCCCTAGTAGTTACTGCTTTATAGTAATATTCACTAAAAGGGCATGAGTAGGTTAGAAGTATGCTTTTTTTTTTCTTCCGAGTCTGTCAAACGCCTTTTGCAAAAGGACCACAATCCCAAAACCCAAAGAAAACAGTGCTGTGTTTTCCCAATGGTCCTTCCCTTACTTTTGTAAGTAGGCAGATATAAATGCAGTCAGTGGGATTCTGAAGGGGAGCTCACTAAGTTTTGGTGTCAACTTCTCTTTCATCATCTCCTAAAACCTTTTTTTTTTTTAAACCCTGGGCATTCTATAGAGGTCAGTGCTTAACCACAGATTGGAAAGTTTCACTTGTCCTGATCACTGTCACCAACACACTTCTCCTTGTAGTATATGCTGGGAAACAGCTTAAGGTCTGATCTGGTAAACTTGTGGGCTATGAGTTGTCAACTTAGAGTCAACAGAGTCATTGACATATACTGTTGTCTGTGCAAAAACTGCATTTTTGCAGTTTTTGAAACTCCATTGTCTCCCCTCCTCTTCCTCTGAAAACGCAAATTATAAATAAAATGTCTCTTCATAAAATCTTTTAAAACTGTTTGTTCAATTTTAAAAATGTTTTCCTTAGATTAATATAAACATATGGAGTTTTATGTAAAAGATTTGTTAGTATTTGAGCTTGAGAAAAAAATGTTTTGTAGTTCCGTTGATTGAGCTCTTCTGCTGGAGAAAGCTGCTAATTTTAGCTGTTTTGAAATTTTTTCAAAGACAGTAAGTGCCAACTAAGCACTTACACATGCATGTGAATAAGTATGGACTCCCGTGAATCAAAAGAGCCATGATTCTTTTCTATTTAAAACCCCCACATACCAGCCTAATACTGTCTGTTAGACAATATTCTTGTGCAGTGGATGATTTCAGCAGGTGATTTTAACAGAATGCATGTGTGCATCTAACTTCCTGTGATACTCCAATACTTTTATTTTAGGTTTAGTTTATGATAGCCTAGTGAGTCTGGGCTCTTGTAGTAGGCTTTACTACGTAGCCATCATAGAATGATAAACAACTTAAAGCATAAAAAAGAAAAATGGAAAAAGTACTGAATAAAATGAAATACAAAATGGACAAACCTGAAGCTAAAAACAGGGGGCAATAGTTTTATAGAGATAAAATAATAAACCAAAAAAATGATTTTGTGCTACTTTGATGTACAGTAAAACAAAATAACATGAGCACACTGTGAAAAATGAACAGGTTAATGGTACCTCTGTGTAGTGTTGCTGGAAGCTGTCTTCATTTAAACACAGAGTTTGCCTTACATTGATGGAGGGCTTTGCCACTGTAAGTTGATAGAGAGAAGTTTAACTTAAATTTCTTTGTGAACTAGAAGTCATTTTGGAAATGCTTTCAATTCAAACCTCATTCATTGTAGCAGCTTAGTTATTTTATACAATGTTTCATTATACTTTGTCAAAAACACTATTATTCAACAGAGTAATACTTATTTTGACCGAAGAGAAGCAGCAATACTTTTCCAAACATTAGGAGGTTGCATTTTTATTACCTGGCTTGGGGAAGAGTTGATTCAAGTGGTTTTTTTTTTTTTGGTCTGTAAATCTCTGTGTTATGATGGCAGCTGTGTAGGATGATTTTATGTATGCATATTGATGTCGGGGTAAATGTGGTAGTTGAAAACAATAATTAAATGTAGCCGGTCTATAAGCAGACCTGCTACATTTTGGATTAAAAACTGCAGTCATAATTCCTAAGTTGGTCAAGGGACTTGGTCAAGAGTTCTTAGTTTAACCTATCTGTAATAATTAAAACCACCAATCAATGCATAAAGATTAGTCAGTTTTGGAAAAGCTCAGTGTTAAATTATTGCTGCATCTTCAGAATTAGGCGATTATCTGCCATGATTCAAAAGGCAAGGTTTAAGGTTATGTTACATTCAAGGTTTCAACTTCTCATCTTTAGGCAGTGCAACTTTTAGTTTTCTGTGGTGCTGGTGTGTGGCATAGACTTTAGGGCAGTTACTGCTAAGAAACCTCTCTACTAGGCACGTGTAAGGTCGTGGAAGCCCTGGATAATGGAAAAGCTCAACGACTGTGTGGGTAGTAGAGGTACATGTAGATTTGCCTTCTGCAAAGCAGCCTGGTCAGCCCTGACCTGGTTTGTAGCGGCAGCTGGAAGCAGCGTGGTTGTATTCATCCAGCACCAGCTCTGAGCTAATAAATCGTGGTGCGCCCAATCTGAATAGCTCTGGAGGTCTATAGTCATTGCATTGTTAATCCACAACCACAATAAACCATGGCTTGTGAGACAAGTAATGCATCTAGTTGCAGTTTTGAAGATTTTACGCGTGAATTACACATAGATGTGAATTTCTTGAGCTCCATTGTATAGATAGTAATATTAAGAAAAAGATATGAATTAGCAAAGCAGTGGTACAGTAGGACTAGAAATATGGATTGCTTCCTAGTCTTGTGGTGCAGATTAAAAAAAAGTCTTAGCTTTCTAGTCATTTATATGACTTGGAGCTCATGATTTAACTATAGATGCTGTTTGGCAGTTTATTGTTGGTTCATTTGAAACGTATACAATTCTTGTATATTTAATCAACTTATTTTTCTTTTTTCCTAAGAAAGAATTTCTAATATTTTTTTGTGTATCACTGATGGTTCCTATATTTTACACAAATCAATACCATGTGTACTAAGCAAATCTTTCAAAAAGAAAATGCATTTTCATTTATCCTTTTGTTTTGTCAGCTCACGACCAGGAAGACCCCCCAAGCGTTCACTAGGAGTTGCGATACAAGAAAATGCACGTCTGCTGCCCCATGGAGTTCCAGGCCTCTTATCACCAGGACTTATCTCTCCGACAGGTAATAAAATCCATCAGATGATCAGCCTCATTTCTTCATACTGCACAGCAGTTAAAATAAACTAATATTGATCTAACTGCCTTGTCCTTCAGGGCTTTTTCAAGCTTTACCAGAGGTTACATTATTGGATTTTTTGAGTGTTCATGAAAACTCTGTTTTGTTGCTGCAGTGACTGAAATCTAATGGATTTGTAATTTAGTTCTTTATTAATTGTAATTTCCTTACAGGAAATTCCATTAAATGTGTTATTTTAGTAAAAGAAAAAAAACTGAGAAAATGAACTGCTGTCTCAGAGAGCCTCGTAGCATGCATTTCTTCCTTTCAAATGCATGTGTATTTTAGTTCTCATGGGATCTGCACAGCGTGGCTAATGCGTATTGTATTGTAACATCATTAATGTATGCTGGGAAGATAGAGAAATGCTTGTAGGAATTGTAGAAGAAACACTTGAAAAGCAGATAAGTCTTCATTGCCACAGTGGATTGTACTTTAATAGTCTGTATTCAATATCATAATATAAAAAAGCTAGCATGAAAATACGTGAAATTATAAACAAACCCTTAACATAATTTAATACATAGTATTTCATTTCACTTCATTAATTTATTAATAGAGTTTAAATTAAATCTTGAGCTATTCTGATGAGTGTTTTAATTTTTTATTAATTGCTGTGTGCTAAAGGTAAGTTTATTTTGGTAATAAAGCTATATTAACAGACTATAGTCATAAAAGTAATTGTTTAAATATTGAACAGGCTTAGCAGTTTTAGGTTTACTGTCAAAGTCCAATCTAAATATACTGCATGTCCATAATAACCAAACTTAGTGGAACATCTTACAGGGAAAGCAGAATTAAAAAAAAAATGTTGCTAGGAGTATAGTGACTTCCGTCTTGATCTTGCAGATTACTCTGCTTGCAGAACCTGTTGAGCTGCAACTGGGTGCCTCAGTGATTCTCGGTGTTCAGGGGAGTAACAAAGCTGAGATCTTTAATTTCTCCTTCAACTCCAAGTGTCATAAGGACTTCACAGTGAACTAATGACCTTTTTTCATTGTGGTAGCGGGAATAAACATTGTAAGCAATAGTCACAGAAACCTTAATTCAAGTAGTTAATAAAGTATGAAAGCATTTTGTTAGAGACAGGTGCCACAGTTGAGCTAGTGCAACTTCACATACTGTTCATATAGGTGGCAGGAATCAAGAACTGGGTTTTCACTCTTGAGAGCAGTTTATAAATGAGGGTTTTTTTAGTAGCTCTGTCATGTTCCCAGCTCAGGAATTTCATGAATTTGGTGGTGTTTGTGTTATTACCAACAGGCAGGAAAGCAGAAGAGCCATCTTGCATTGATAATTTCTTGTCAGAAATCCAGAATATTCCATGTTGCTTTCCCACCCTGTGTGTGTTTGCAAATAGGACATAAAATTATGCAGACAATCTTGCTTTAAATTGGGAAATATTTTAGGATGCAGCGCGCTGAGTATGCACAGTATGTATCATAGACCCATCTTGTGTCTCACAGGTATTTGGAGTATCACAGAGTTTGAGTTGAAAAAAAAAAAAAGTAAGTTGAATTTCTAGGCTGTTGTAAGTTGTTTGGAGTCTGAAGTGACTTAACATGTGGAGAAGATTGGCCCCAGGGGGCTGTCTTTCAGCTGAGGCTGGTTTGGCCACCTTCATGACCTTGGGAGCCACCTATGAAAACCTCTGCATGACCAAGTGCCAAAAGTCATACACAGTGTGCTTCAAGCAGCTGAAAGGAAGTTTTGTGAGCAACTTGTGGGTGGGAGAAAATGCGTGTTTCCAGAGCATTTCAGCATCATTGAGGGCCCTGGACAAGATTGGTCCCCATGGATGAAGCAGCCCTGCCACAAACCTGTGTCAGGGCAGCTCCATGCTGGTAGTCTCTGTAGTCTTGTGACTTGGGAATCAGAGCTCCTGAAGTTTTTGACTTGTTTTATCTTGTTCATAAAGAAAGAACAGTGTAAAAGTTGGGGGAATTGCTGGGTAAGGAAAGGTGCCAAAAGGGCCACTTGTAAACTCAACAGGGAGTTGGGCTGTTGTAAACTTGATGGAGCACCTGGGATATAAAGCCTCCATTAGCTTTATTTATACCTGTTTACACTTAATTACTGACTGCTTTGCTCTGGTTGCCTTCAACACCTTTGCAATTGGATTCTTTCCTTTTGGCTGAACTAAGAACAAAATGCGTTTTAACACTTCTCACAGAAGAGAGGTTTTTCTTCCAGACTTCCAAGTGGCAGATAATAGACTGGAGTAAGAGTTGCAAGCATATTACCCTGTTGTCTGCTTGCTAAGTCTTAATTTGGTTATTTATGTTCTCACTTGCATGTGACTTGCTCTGGTTCTGACAGTGTTGGCCCACAGAATTTGTATGTAAAACTGAATCTCCTTCCTGCCCCTTGCTGCCACCTGCTCAGTGACCTGCCAGCTTGGCAGAGGCATTCTGCAGGGACCGCGGTCTGCTCCCACGCAGTGTTTCAGGTGGCTGTGAGAGGGGAGCAGGACCAGGACTGGGGCAGAGACTGAAGAGAGTTTGCAGCATGGTAGGGCTGGATCCATCTCTTCCAGTAAAGCGGATGCTGATACGGAGGCAAGAATGATGCTACATCTTGGTGACTTCTTTGGTTACCTGCTTCCTCTAACTGCAGTGTAACTGCCCAAAGCATTTCTTTTGGATGTCGTCTTGTCCACTCCTTGATCATCTCTGTGTCTGATCCTGCCCGTTCTTCCTACAGCACAGATATGCAGATGATTATGTTAATCTGCCTGCATTGTTCTAAAAAAAATAAATCACACTCACTCTTCTTATATGGCTACCTCATTTTCTAATGTGTCCAACTTAGCATCCGAGTTGTTTTCTTCTTCAGATAAGCTCATTTTAGTAACAGATTCCACATCAGCAAATGCAGCATGATTCATCCATCCATTGCATTTTTTGGTTTTACCTCCTCTTTAGTTTTCTGTCAAGTTAAAGTGAAGGATTTTGTGTCCAGGCTTGCTGTTGTTTAGATGGATAGGTCTTAAGAAGTTGCTGTTCTGGCTGCAGACGTCACAGATCTGTCTGTAGCGGGTATTACAGAGCGATGATTAGTAACTTCCTGCAGACTTGAGTGAGCCATCTGTGTTTCCACTCCTTGAAATTTGCTGTTATTTTCATCACCCATTTGGTTTGTGTCAGCTCAGTTTACGTGGTCATTTTCACATAATAAACAGGTAGTTAAATTAAGAATACTGCATTTCCCAGTGCGGAGTGTAATTTTTTTATGTCTTGGCAAAGTGGACTACAGCTACGCTTATACACAAGTAATTTGTGAAGGAGCTATAAGTGAAGCCTTGACCTTTTTAAATATTTCTAGGTACTTTCCACCTTTGGGGAATGGACACATTTGAGTTACGATGAGACTAGACCAGCAGGGTGGTTAAAACTGCTGTGATTGAGACAGATGAGGTGGTGTGTCTTGGATGCATGCCACAGGGAAGGGTTTGTGTAAACAGCACAATAATCGTGCCCAAACCGCATCCTTCAAGAGCTGATAAATTTAAGAACCGTCCATTTTGCGTTAACTTAGGAGGAAGTGTTTTTCTTGTATTCCTGTAGGAAATGTGGAAATCAGTGTGGTGCCCTTGCCTGCTGTGAGGGCAAAGGAAAAATTCTGTATGTCACAGAGGGATGGTCATCAAAGGCTCAGTTCTTCAAACAATGCACTGTGATGAAGTGACATTAACAAAAAAAGGCTTTATCTCCTATTAATGTACAAGTCTGTCATCAGTGTATCTTAACAAGACAGTTGGGACTTATTTATGGAATAGATTTTCAAGGAAGTTTTAGGGTCTGAAGCAGTAGTTTGCTGTGTGGGGAGAAGCTAAAATCCATTACATGATTTAAGCCAGCAGTTCAGAAAACTGTTGATATGGAATGAAGCTCAAGGAGTAGTTGGATCTTTTGCTAGTTAACCGTGCCAACTTCAATCCTCCCATCTTTCATTTAGGTCATCCCAAAAAAAGGTTAGAAAACCACTACAAGAAATATTCTTTGCAATTTTTCTCTATTCAGTTTGTAGGATGGCTATTATTTCAATAAAACCTTTTTGGGGGCTGCTCCATCTTGTTCTCAAGGTATGGGAGAGGGTGGCTTATGAAGAAAATCATCCTGCCATTGGAACTTTGTTAGACTGTGGTACAGGGCACAAACCTGCTTTCTGGGGCAGGTGTTTTTTTCAGGTGGTAGGGCGGGCATCTCTCTGACTGCATGTGTGCTGGGAATCCCGCAGCTGAAGCTGATGGGGTGCTGGAAGGTCTGGTGAGACTGTGGGCCAGGAAGGTGGATGCAAGACTGTTTAAAACATTTCCGTTGCCATTTTATATTTCTGTGCTTTGGTGTCTGGAGCTTAGGGCAGCCTGGTAGGCCTGGTTTAGGGCTGAGGGCTGCTGAATGCTCGGTGTAAGAGATGCAAGGAAGTCTGGCTGGTAGGCAATTGTGTGTTAGAAAAGGAAAATGAGGAATTTTCAAATGGATACTTGACTTTGGTGGCATTTGCTGGATGGGTGGCAGGAGGATTCAGAATTTCAGAGGTTAGGCAGAGGTTCACCCGCAGTTGATTGTCTCCCTGCTTGGGAAAATTTTGTGGTCCGTACTGTGTGCAGAGTCGGTGGCTGGTGCTGCCATGGGCGGGTGGGATGTCCGAGGCTCACCCTGGTGTTAATACCTCCTGATTAAACCCACTGCTAGCACCTATCATCAAGTCCCTGCTGTTTTCTTACATTGGTCTGCCCAGGTGACAGAAGCAAACCACCTGCATTTTGAAATGTGTAAGATAAACTGCTGTTTTCATTATCAGCTAGATTAGTTTCACTCCCTTGATGTGATCCTTTTTTATTTCATAAACAGACAGTTAAAATAGGCGCTATCTCATTAGCTGTTTGTCTACAGTTTTTAAGAATGTAATAATCAAAACTATTCTGTTCACAACAGCTTCTC